CGTTGAAGAAATGGAAGGGACACGTTCAGGAGGGAAATGGGAGAGAGGGTTTCCGCGTTGAATGTTGTATTTCTTTCAAACTGAAAATCTTTCACGTGTACACTCGTGGCAAAGACGAGACGTTTCGAGTGCGTTGTCATTCTAGAAGCCGTCGGATAACTCGTTTCTTTCGCTCCTTCTTTTCCTCTTTTTCCCGCCGCTTCTGTACCCATCTCCGGCGGTCAGTCTCCCTCTCTCTCTCTCCCTGTCTCTCTCTCTTTCTCTCTTTCTCTCTCTCTCTTTCTCATCGCCTGTGTTCGGTGCTGACACGGTAGCCTTCCCTTGCTGCCACTCAAACTCTCTCAGGTAACGCGATCCCAGTAGCCTAAATAAACGTGCTAGAATAAATAAAAGCTATTCTAAACGTCGGCCTGTTGTTTACCTAGCTGTCATGGAAGCGAAGGACATTGTCATACTTAAATGGATATCGAAGTGGCCGTTCACAGGCCCTCTCTCTTTTTCTTTCTCTCTCTCTCTTTCTCTTTTTATCTCTCTCTTTTCCTCTGTCTCTCTCTCTCTCTCTCTCTCTCTCTCTCATTTTCTTTTCTACCTATAAAACATCGTCGTTATTTAAATTATGTCAATATCATTATCCGATACGTCCGGAGTTATGTCGATTACAATCATGTACGGAAAAAGAATATAGCAGCTTGATACAATGAAAGATGTAACATCGCCGACTAAACGAGAGAAATCGAATTATGCGTCTTATTTCGAGAATCGTTTTTTCGATTAAGAAAAATTCTATTTTATTTCTATGTATATATGGAGGTATCATATGTACGATAATCTTTTAGAAAATTCCAAAAACGTATTCGCTTTTTATTTAGCTCGATGACTTTTATCTAGAAATGAATATCGTCCTTAATATTTCCAATTACTTTTGCTCAAGTACGAGGAACCTACGATATATCGAGTCTGTAGACCATGCATATAGATATGTATTATGTATTCTACTCAATCTTTCAGCATGAACATCAGACATCTGCCGCTTATCGATTTCTTTCAAACGATATGCAATTCATTTAGCAAGAGAATTAAATTCTCATAGATACGTACGAATTGAACGTTTTAATTTTTTACTTTTGTATTAATGTAGCACGTTGGCGCTGAGATAAAGGAAAGATAAAGGTGTGATTTGCAACGTAAAATCTTGTCCGGAATGTATACTATTGCCTTATAATGAATAACTCTAACATAAGTTCGAACGAGTAAAATTAAGTACAAGCATTCTGTATGATAGAAAAATTATACAGACTCGCAAGATAAGACCCAATGGATTGCAATGACTGCAAAAAATCTCTTCTTCTTCTTCTTCTTTTTCTTTTTGTTTTTTATTTAATCCTTCTTTTTTTCTTTCTTCTCTTGCCAGGCAAGGTGGCAAATACGTATTTATTTCGAACGCTGATCGCCCTCGGTAACATCTATTCCATCTTCCACATCACGAACAGTCGCGCGAGAGATCCTTCTGGAGAAAAGCAGACAGACAGCTCGTGCACGGTAGAAGAAGAAGCAAATGAAATTGACAGTCGACGTCTGTCTGCGTCCTGTCGTTCTCTCTCCCTTTCTCTCTCTCTCTCTCTTCTCTCTTTCTCTCTCGCTCTTTATATCTATCTATCTATCTATCTCACTGCTTCTTTCTTTTCCACTTAATCTTTCTCTCTCTGTCTGTCTGTCTGTTTGTCCCTCTCTCTCTCTCTCTCTCTCTCTCTCTCTCTCTCACTCGTTGATTCGTTCGCTCTCACTCTCTCGTCCTCGCTTGCTGTAGTATGTCTGTCAGCATGACACCGAGCGACGCCTTCTTTATTATACATTCAATTATTAGGCGCTGCGCATGACAAGCGCTATTGCATATTTATATCTGCCAGCCGAAGCGAGCTCAGCTGGATAAGGGGGTTCCTGACAGCCCGTCACGAGCATACGTTAACATTCTTAATAACGTGCTTGTATATATACTTTTACGAATATACATACGTATATATGTATATATGTATGTACATATAATAACTATACAAGGTGTTCCTCGTAACTTCGTACCCCCATTAAAAGCGTTTTACTTTTTCTTTGCCATTTTTCAGAGAGAGGTTATTTAAATCGACGTTACACGTCTTTGCCCGTCCTCGTTGGGTGACGAATATTTTTAGCTCGTTCAACTGCTTCTTACCTCGATGCTATTAAAATCGTTTCATGAATTCTTTTTATACTTAGTCATATTATTCTTATTATTTTTTGTTTATGGTTTAAACTTCTTTAAGAATGCTAAGAAAATATTAATTTATATATATATATATATATATATATATATATATATAAAGGAACTACTTATCTATTATAAATTAAAAGTTGCGAGATATATTTTAATTTTATAAGATCAATAAGAAAATCAATAACAAGTGAATTATTTCAAGGATTTTGAATGGCATTCTACGTACATATTTGATATTATAATATAAACAGGAAGATATCGAAGAAAGAATGACGAATATAAATATATTCTATAGATTAAAAGTATTAATTCATTGTATGTGTGTGGAAGATAAGAAGTCTTCCCGTTGAACCGAGTTAAATAAACGAGAGTAGAAATCACAAGTTTAAATTCTGAAATTCTTTTTAATACTCTATAGATAATCTTCTGAATCGTAATCTATTACGTGTAAACATTATAACTACTTTATATTCTGTGCTATATCACATCTTTTCTTCACTTTTGAAATTTTTCCACGTTTTGCAAATATATGACTAATAAATGCCAAGGTAGTATCAATTCTGAAGCTGGTAAATATTGATCATCACCTATTTCAATTCTTATATCTTTTTTATTGTATACAATCGATTCTTCGATTAATAAAAACTGACTAATCTCGACTAAACACAGGATGTTTATCAATCCTTTCTAATCCTTAACATAAAGTATTGATTGGTGTTATTATTTTTGGAACAAGTGTTGATCTTCCAAAGAACGTTTCTTTTCATAAAACTTCGTTCTTATGCTACCCTGATTAGGAGTGTCGACCATCTATTTCCAATTGATCCGATTATGATAGAGCTGATCCCGACCATTCCATCTGTTCTTATTGTTCAATAGCTACCGTAGTTGCTACTGTGTCAACTGTCATAAAATGTCATAATATGAAACAATGATAGACAAGGCGAATCTTTTTTAACAATGGATCGGAATCAAATAAAAAATTTTGTATTTATCAGCCGTCAGTCAAATATTTGAATTGATTAATTTGAAAAATAAAAACAAATTCTATATTTAATTTTTTAGTAGTCAAAAAAAAAACAAAAAAAAAACAAAATAAGAATTAAACAATGCAATTTGATTTAAAACTATTGGGAAATTTGCTACTGCTTTTAAGATAATAATATATATAATATATAATATTCTATAACAGAATTGTTTAAACAACTTTACATCAGCAAATAAATAAATTTCCCATACATTTTGAGATTCTATCAGTAATGGAATATAGATAAATAATAACATTCTACAAATCTAGGAAATAATTTAAAGATTTTTTTGTGCTTTACAAATATTTGAAATCCCAATTTCTTTTATATAATTAATAAAACTATAGTTAAACTTTTTTCATAGTGACCCACAGGTCACGGGATTGCCAATCGCTGATCTAATATATCGACCGCTGTATTATATCTAATTTCCGGTTCTAAATTCCATATGCAGTACCAGGTGTTTATATTGGATTAACTCATTGCAGTAAGTTTTTATATTATATCTCATTTATATTCTTTTACATTTATTATTATTATTTTTCTATATTTTTTTATTAATCAAGTTTATTATACCTTGCTCGATCATCGAGATCTAATTTATAATTCTGTTCTGCAACTCTAGGAACTGCCAGGAGCATTGAAAACCTATCTTTAACAGTAAAGAAAAACACCCGTCACAGAATATATGGACAACTTTATTGGAATTGTGATTCCTTTCACGCTCTTTGACATAATACTATGAGACGTCTTATCCGTGAAGCATGAAAAAGAAGTTAAGAGTGATAGTCGATCGACAGGAACAAAGTAGCAATTTTCCTGTTACAGTCACGTTTCATATAATTCTTTTTTCTTTTTTCTTCATTCCTTTACATTATTATCAAATGTGGTATAACACGTTGAACTTATTCACAAACGACGCGAATGGTGAACTACATTCCCAGTCGTCGTGGCAGTAGCTTTCGTCGTCAACAAAATGCTGACCTCCGATCATATATCAAACACCGCCTACGGTGAGCTCGTACCATAAAAAGAATAAAAGCTTTCTTATTTTCTCGTGGTCATGGCCGCCCGCTTTGATATACGATACATTTGTACCGTGTCGGGCAAAAGCCTTCGAAAAGCCGATCATCCAGCATAACAGCATTTTTATGCCAAAGTGCCCTATGCGACCGACGAGAATTGACAGAATTCGAAAAACAGCTGACATGCCACGATAGAAAGGTAACCATCGTTCTTTCCAATTTCTAAGTCACCTCCACAAAATCCTTCTCCCTTTTCTTTTTCATCGGTTTAAATAACCTCAACCAAATACGTTCGCTTCTACGAAAAAGGAAACTAATAAATCGCTGCTCCGTTGGCGATCATTTTCAACGTCCAATCGAAAATACATATGTACATAATTGCATCTTTCTTTCTTCTCTTTTCCTTTTTCTCTTATACGATGCAGCTGTTCGCTAACTTAACCATTAAGCGTCGGTTCGCGTAGACCATTCTTGCGCAAAAGTAGTAAAACTAATGTATGCCTAACGATAGTATGAATCATAGGTAATTTCTCGCGATCGGCCGAGATAATTCAAGCTGATCGCGTTAGTCAGTGTCAATGGATAACGTCGTGATCGAGCGTGGCGAACGAAGTTGTAATCACGATACCAATACCGCTGTCAGCTGCTGAGACTACATATGTATGTACATCAGGTGGCGGAGAAGTTACGTTCATCGATTCGTACATATGTATGTAAGTATGTATCTACGTTACTATATATCGTTTCAACATTTTAGGTTGCTTTACTTCTTTTACTAAATTCACGATTTCTTTCTATGTCGACGTACGATTAAAATACCGTTACTAAAACCATTACGAAAATTATGCAAGACGTTGAAACAGATTTTATGGATAAAAGACACGAGTCGTAAGTTTTGTACCTATATACATTCATACACAGAACGATTGTAATCGACGTTCACTTCTTCCCGGAGGTAGCAGTAACGTTGAACTACAAATTACATTCTGTAACAAATTACCTCATAATGTACTTATGTCGTTATAACTAAGAAAAATTTTACCGTCCCTTTCAAACCTCTCTCGTTTCTTTTTCTTATCCTTCAACATCAATGATGATACATGACATTAAGATACAATTTGTTATTTTACGCGATGCCTCGAACAAGTAGAGCGTCTCTATCCACTCGTCGAGAATATGAAAGAAAAAAGCAAAAAAAAAAAAGAAAGAGAAAGAAAAATCAGCATGATCGAACACATCGATCATATGGCATCGAAACTTTTTTCGAATTCCCGAGATAGACGAAGAAGGTATACAGAAAGAAAGAGAGAACCTCAACTAACTGGTAATTCCTTCGAAGCAGTCTTCGACTTTTTTGGATTTCATCGAGCTCTCCGGCTCGAGGTAAGGAACGTCGAATCGGCGAAAGAATCCGCGACAGAGCGGCATCTGTGACGGATATGCGGTACGGGCCGCCTATCCGCGGCATCTTAACGGCAAGAGCCGCGTCGTTATGGGCACGACGTTGACGGACGGCTCTCTTACGCACGCTTGACGGGAAACACAAATTGTAGGCGCAGCTGCGCCGATAGTAATCAAGAAACACGCTAGGTAGCAAAGTAGAGTGGCCGGATAATAATCCTACCTCTCCCTTCATCTTCTATCTCTCACTCTCTCTTTCTCTCTCTCTCCCTCACACACATTATGCGTCTTTTTTCTCTCGGTTACAAGTCTTATACGCACGATAGGCGTTATGCAGACATGCAGGAGACATCGAGAGAAAATGTGAGACAAAGATCGAGAGAGAGAGAGAGAGAGAGAGAGAGAAGGAGAAGACAGAGAGACAGGAGATGAAACAGGACATGGCTTCACAGGAAAATGATGTTGATACAGGTCGATACCTGTCATCCGTTGGCCGATCTACTGTCAAGATTGTTCGTAGCTTGGGATACTCCTCGCTTTATACGAATAGTCTGACGTTCGTGTGCGTAGTACCTCGCTAGGATGGAGTCCGGCCACGGTCGTGACAGTGACATACTATGGTAAGCCTGCAAAATGTACCGCGAAATGCGCCCCAAGACGAAAACCTTTTAGCCTCCTGACAATAGATGTGAATACCGTGACGGCGAAAGAAATAGAAAAATAATCTGACGAGTGCACAGTGATTTCTTGAAAAATATTTCTTGTGCGATATCAAAAATACACAGAATTGACTATTTCGTTCTAATCCATGTGAAGAAAATAAGAAAAAATATTAATTTGCAATCGCAACTTACGTTTGGTTTAAATCGCATACCAAAGAAACGACTAAATTCTTAAGCGTTAAAATCACTTAAAATACCTACCACTATGGTTATGTAAAAAAAAGAAGTTCTAACGACGAATTAAAGGTTGCAACACTCTAAGCGATGCACACTTGGAATAATCTTTTTAAGTACGTCTGGTTACTTGCCATAATTATAAACGCATACGACGTGCTTTCCACGCTTGCATTCCATGAGTGTCATTGTCGTTAGTGTAACATAGACGTCTCTTCCACCCCTCCATTCCTTCCCTTTCTACTGATGTCGGCCTATGTTCCCCTCTCTTCTTCTTCTCTCTCTCACACACTCTCTCTCTCTCTCTCTCACTCCCTCATCCTCCTTCATCGTCGAGCTGCTGCCCTCTGCCAGAGCTTCAAGGCGGACGCATTAATTTGCCGAGGCGTGCCTAATTCTATGTGACACGCTCTTTCGTTTGCCTTCGCTCATTCTCACTTCCCTTCCCCTGTCCACATCGTTTTCTCTTTCTCTCTCTCTCTCTCTCTCTCTCTCTCTCTCTCTCTCTCTCTCTCTATGAGTCAACGGTATTAAAGCGACAAGTTTACATGCTGAAGCTACCTAACCACCGACGTGCGTATACATACGCGAGACTTTGTTATCGTGGAATCATCGCAGGCGTATCTCAAACGAAATTCCATTCCCACTCGTGATTGCGAATCTAATTTTATCATGCTTTCGTAGAAACGACGTTGATCCTTCCTTGGATATGCGCTGAGCTATTACGTTTCTGCATGCTCGTTGATTCGCTGGTTTTACGATTTACGTAAACTTACGTCAAGTTTGGATATCACTTTTTCTGCAATTTAACAGATGTACATTATTTTATAAAATATTTTTATTTCACGTTTCTTAGAAGGTAGAAAATTATTGTACCTCTTTCTTTTTCTTAAGTTCGTTCATACAAAATCTATATATATATATATATATATATATATTTTCACGCATAGGTAATACATATGTGATCGTTTATAAAAATTTCATGAAAAATTGATCATTGAAGATTACAAAAAATATACTTTGAAAGGATTGCGTTAGAGAATATAAAGATTGATATTTTGAGCGAAGGGATTTTTTTTTACCTCTTTCCTCTTACGACACTCATTCATTGTCCTCCTGCCAACAAGTACACCGGCCTTGAAACGCGAGTCATCGACCTAGACACAAGACAAAACTCATCCCACAACGCGTTACGATTTTGATAAGACGGAATAATAGAGCACGTAGACATTAGAATGTTAATTAATTTCATATTTCGCCACAATAGCTTTAATTTCGTTATGTTTACAAAATGTGTACAAGCGTTTACTTGTCAGTCAGTCACCCAGTCATTCAGTCACTCATGCAGCCAGCCAGCCAGCCAGCCAGTCAGTCAGTCAGTCAGTCAGTCAGTCAGTCAGTCAGTCAGTCAGTCAGTCAGTCAGTCAGTCAGTCAGTCAGTCAGTCCAGTCAGTTAGTTAGTTGACAAGATAGGAGAGACAATTGTGCTTCGTGGTTAAAGGGAACACCAACTACTGAGTAGAGATCGTAAGAGATATTATTTATGCAACGGATGTACCTTCGAAACTCTTTCAATTGGTAAAGTTCTAAAATAGAATGTTAATAAACTATATTCTATAGAATGAAAAATAACTCTCTGGAACGTTTTATTATCTAGAAATCTATTTCTTTTGTCAAACCCTACACATCATTTTCTATCTCTTAGATTACATACATATGTTCTATACAAATTATACTTTTTTTCTCTATAATTGAAAATGAAATAGATTCACAATAATTTAAACGAGGTAGAAGCAATTCTATAGAAAAAAATAAAAAAATAAAAATAATGATCTAATTTCTAAAACGATAATAATAACAGTTGGAATTATTTACTTGATCATATATTATATTAGAAATATTTTATAATACTCTTTAAAAAATTTTTATTGTTATCAATATCTATAGGTACAAATCTATCATAAGTTAAATATCATTTTGTTATTATTCAAATAGTAATTTGTTAAGATTAACACGACCATAGATTGATTTGGATCGCATAATTAGGTGGATCGATTGAGGCCGTTTATTGGAGTTCGAAGAAGTCCACCTTTCGCGCCAAGAATCTCGAGGCACGCAACCGTTCACAAATGATCTATCTTGCATGTCTTGCCAAGAAACATAGAAAATACATATTAATGAGTTGTTGAGTAGTCATCCGTAGAAGAGAAAATAAATATAGCATTTAAAATTGCTTGATAAAAAAAAAAAAGTTATGGAATAAGAGAAAGGTCCTTCCTCGAACGAACTACAAATCCAATTCAAATTCCGTTCTAAACGCTATCAATAAAACTGTGCCGGCTACTCGTACATTGTTCTAAATCGCCCTCGGAGCAGCGAGTCCGCCGGCTATATCGGCTTTATGCCAGCGTGAAGCAGCCAACTATACGCCGCGCAAGGAAACACAAACTTTATACGTTACGGCGAAACTACCGCATCGGGGGGAACAAAAGACTTTCACAGAGACATTACGAAAGAGGAAAATATGTGGGCACACCGGTATGGTGGCTCGTAAAGTGGAAACGCGCAGGAGCTCGCCGACGGGCAACCTAAAGAGACTAAGAGAAAGAGAGAGAAGCCTACGCGAGAAAACGTTGCCGCGTAGCCTTTTTCTCTGAATTTTGCTAAATTAAACGCGGGCGACGCGGCTTATCGCGACTCAACTATCGCGCTTAACCCTTAACGAGGATATTATGCGCGTACGTTGGAACTCGATTATGGCATCGTCGATCAGATTATACCTTAAACCGAACCGTTCCTATGTATTATCTCTTGTAATTTGAATACCTTTGCGTCTGTTATTCGTTGCCGCTCGAACGATTCCATCTCTTGAATTCGAGTGAAATATTAATGAAAATATTATACTCGAGATGAAATTGGATTGCTATGGGATAAGGGGATAGGGGCAGATGAATTTATGTGAAATTGAATTAACAATTAGATATGCTCGTTAAAATGTTCTTTTGAAATAATCTTATACGCATTGTTTAGATATATTTTTTAATAAGAGAGATGCAACATTGTTGCCGGTTATGGAAACTTATTTTAAAAGATGAAAAGAGGTAAAAGTACTTACACGATTCCGTAGGGAACTGCCAAGAAGCAAGCGCTAATCGTGCCGATAAACAAACGGATCCGCATCGAGCATAATTTCGCTTTATCGCATGCACCGTTACGTCCTCTTGGCGAATGAAAGAACGGAGATAAAACCCGAGTTCTTTTGTGCCGCATCCTATCATAAGAATAGGTAGGGAGAGAACGATGGTTGGGGAGGGTGGATGATGGTAGTGGTTGGGGAAGGCGAAAGAGAAAGATTACATTTATTCGAATCAGAGCGAGATACGATACAAAGGGTTATGTTCTTCATAAAATACCTAGCCCCGTTGCTCCTCGACCTCCTCACGAATATATCCGGCGACATCTTGATATTATCCGGGGAACTTGCCAACTCTTTTATACAGACATTTATTTCCTTGCGTATTTGTTATAGCCAAGTTGCAGTTTCGCAGATTGTGCTACTTAGCTTTTCGACTACCACCCGACTTACCCGTGCTTTTTTTACTTTTTTCCTCGTGTATATTTTCTTTCTTTCCTGCTAGAAGCCTCTTTTCTATTCGACATCGTTTTTTATTTTTATTCCCTCGTATCTTCACTCCTCGTTCGAAGTTAATTTACAAAATGTACGGATCTTTTTAAAACTTCTGAAGAAGTTAGCAAACTATACGAAAGCTCGATGCTTTTTCACTTTAAACGTCATCCGATCGAACGCTTCGATGGAAAATTGATTTACGATACCTTCGCTGCAATCGCTAACGAGCGTAGAAATTAACCTTTAACTACGTATGGAGCGTGATTGCAAAATCGATAACGTGGCCACGTAAAAGAAAATCGAGAAGGAAATCTGGTGCTGTAGGTATGCTCTAGGTATGGGAGTCATCGAGAATGTCAAATTCACAAAAGCGAGCCGCCTTGGTCTTTCATGAGCGACAACGAAGAGCGATGGTGAAATTAGCGAGGTTACTTCCCGACGCCATGTCGCGACCATGACTGGGCAGTCTCGGGTCCGGTGACTGGCTATTGTGCTTCTATACAACCGTCATTAGTCATGACCTTTGTGCAAACGAATGCAAAGATTAGCCGATAGACGTTTGCGTAGGCGACCAGCTGAAGTCCCTCAACAACTGGACTGCCAGCACCTGGAGGAATTACATGGAAAGTAGAAAAAGAGAAAGCAAAGAAGTAGGCGTGTTGAAAGAAAAAAAAGGAAAGAAAGAACATTGTAGTGGGGAGAAACTTGGGAGTGTCTGATGTTGGCCTACTAATGAGATCCTCCATAGGATGTTCATCTTTCATCTCGGACACGTTGACACATTTCTGTCCCTCTTTGAGACGTAGGGAGCAAGACCCACAATTGCCTGAGCATCTGCGTGCCACTCAGTCATTCTTCTTCTTTTTCTTTTTCTTTTTCTCTTCGTTTTTCTTCGCTTTTCGTGAAAAAAAAAAGAAAAAAAAAAGAAAAAAGAAAGAGATCTATAATTCATCGATATTACTTCACTCTCTTTTAATCTTTTCATTTGTTTTTAAGAAAAGAATTTTCGAAAGTGATTACGTTTTGATTTCGATCATATTTTACAATGATATATTTCGAATCGAATCGGTGTAAAAATAATTTTTATTAATCTTCATAAGGACATCTTATGAAGATTATAAAGAGATATTATAAAAATAGAAAGGAATAAATTACGAATTCATATTTAATATCATATTAATTATGAAGATCGATTAAAAAAGATTTTAAGAAAAATGTTTCCTAAGGAACGTTACTTTCATTATATTTTTCATAATATTTTCTTAGGTCTCATTCAGAGAAGTAACACAATCGGTTAGAGATTTTTCTTTCTTACTGTATGCGGCCCGTCATCGTCAATAAATTAAAAGGCGATAACCAAACGGTAGGACGATGTCATGCGTCTTTGTTCAAACACAACGATAACCACGACGACCACGACCACGACGATGACGACGATGTCGGTGCTCGATGGCAGTCGAAGAAATCGTTATACGCGGACTGTCCTTTCATGCGGTTTGAATTATTACGCACGGCCTCGACGATATATGAGAAACTGACGCAAGCTATAGTGTAACGCGAAACAGTAGCGTACCGCGCGCTATACATGATCGTAAATTATTCGCTGTCGAGCGAGCATTCAACGCCGGGAACGCTCGCACGCTACGTTACGTTCTTGGGCTTGCTCTCCAGGGGCACGGCTAAAAATGTCACGACCATTAACGTGACTTCAAATTCGACCGGCCTTTTCTAATCCTAAGCGTGTTCTAAACTTCGATCGTGAGATAATTGCTTTTTTTTCCTTTTTTCTTTTTTTATCTTTTTAAAGTCCTCCAATAAATTATCAAACGAAACAAGATGTTCCTATCCTTATCGTAATACTTCGAAATTTAATATGTCATTATATCATTTTTCTTTGTTCAATCTTATAATGATACATGATTACATAAAGAATAATTATATAAGTTCGAAACTCGGATAGAAAATGAAAGATTTTATCACAATTAGTAATATCAGAAATTAGTCGATATTCGTTAATAATTTTTTTTTTTTTTTTTTATTATTATTAAGGCTCTATGAGTAAATTGCAAAATTGTAGTTAATTATATACAAGGATTTTTTTTCAAATCTTTTTATAGATAAGAATGATAAATAAAGGTATTTTTATCTTTAAGAAATTCTTATCTATAATGAAAGATGTACAAGAACTGAGGACAAATTGTACTTAATTATACTAAAAATTTCTTGAAATGCTTTAATAAAATTCCTTCCTTTGAAAAATATTTTACAGCTAATCAAAATATTTTACAGCTAATCAAAATACTTCGATTTTTCATAATGGTTTTTTATAATGGCTATTTGCTTCTTTTATAAGATCGAATGTAATGCAAAACTCGAGAAGCATTTGAAACGATCTCTTGTTTCTCGTCGTTCATCGCCAACTCGGTAGGCGCGTCTTCATGGAAATACATACACTTGGGTATTGGCTTACGCGTATCTACTCGAGTCCATACTGAAAAGAAATGCGCGTTCTCGCGAAGATGCACCTGTCGCTCTTCTGAAAACGACTGAAATCGTCTAATGGCTTTGTTTGCTCGAAGACGAGTCAACCACTCGACGATAAACTCTTTCTTTTTCGTCTTCGTCCTATCAACTCCATCGTTCTTTTCCCACTCTTCTTCTCTCTTAACTCCGTCTCTCCATCACTCCTTCAGACGATTTACTCGATGAAGAAACACTAATACAGTCTCGTAGCTTGATATTATCCCGCGATTCTCGTTGAGACCGACCGTGGATAACTCGGAATTTATTATATCGCTCGACGACAATTTAGGTGTTCTGTAGAAGTTTAAAATCTTACGATCGTAAATTAGATTGTATAGCAATTAAGTTAATGTTCAGGGTTGATGGGCTATATGTCAGGTCTATAAACTCGAAAACGACTTGGAGGAACCAACCATTCGGGTGTTTCTACATCTTCAAAATACATTCGCATAAATGTTATGATCCTACGAATTTAAATAAACTTTCTGATCTAATCGATGGATACTTTTTCGATTTAAAATATATTATCGATAATGAATATATTGCAAAATCGATGAACGTATCGTATTAGCAAATAAATTAGTATTAATGAATAATGAAATAAATTTGAAATATGATATTTCAACCAGAATGTTCATAAATTTACATTTGTAAAAATCATATAATTATAAGACAACTATGCAAAAAAGATTTCTTCTATCTTTATTCATGCGATTTAGGAGTAACGGCTAAAGAATTTATCTTATCCATCAAAGGACGAACAAGTGGCAAGCGAGCGAAGGGACACATCAGAGAGGCCATCCTGGATTGGATGAAAGAGGTTCTTTAATCGGCAGCACGTACACGGATCGGTACACGCGTCAGTACGCGACGACGTAGTTAACGGCTTCCAGGAATGGTTTCTCGCTCGGTCTCGACACGCTCTTGGCGACCATATCGAGGCTCCATCTGCGGCTACCGTGCCACGCCGACAGACGTTTTGCCGATCGCCGATCTCTGCAGGATTATTATGCTTGTCCCCGCTGACTATGATCACCGCAGACACGTCGGTATGCCTGGCTCATTAGCCGTTCGGTGCTTGCCATCAAAGCGATGAATAATAGCCTCTTCCCTCTCCTCGCTTTTCTCTGTTCATCTTTCTTCTTCTCTTCCTCCTCGTGATGATCGCAGGTTATTCGGTATATGTTTTCCCCTATCGAATCGTTTTTTATATATGATCCATAATCGTACGAAAGGATAGTCATAAATCTGTACTACCTGGACCTAAAATGTTTTCGTTGAATTTCTTTCAAAGAGAGAACATTTTTTAATCCATATAAAAATTGATCTTACGTATGTATTGAATGTATCAATAAAAAAGAAAAGAAAAAGAAAACAGAAAGAAAAAAACAAAAAAAAAAAAGAAGAAAAAAGAAGGTAAACGAAGAACATTTAATAAATCTTTCTTTCCTTTACGAGAAGCGAGAGAATCATCAGATAGAAATCGTAGAATTATGCGTGATAGGTTGCGGCGAAGATCGCGAGGTAAGAGGTGAATTAATCAAAGTCGCTCCTAAAGAGGAGAGCCATAATCGCGTGAGAACGTTAAGCTTAAGATAGGTAACATCGAGTTTCATACACTTGGGATAAGGGCTCGCGTCCTGTTTCGGTGATGAACATCGATCTTCGATAGTTGTATCACGTTCGTTCGCTTCGAGAGCGAGGACGCAGCTTCAAAGACTTGAAATATGCGCCTTTCGAGTGAAAGAAAGAGAAAGAGAGATAAAGAGGGAGAGAGCGAGAGAGAGAGAGAGGAAGAGAGAGAGAAAGAGGGAGAAAAAGAGAGAGAGAGAGAGAGAGAGAGAGAGAGAGAGTGGGAGATACGTTGCTCATAATTTATAACGGTCGTTTTCGCAACAAGAGCACGTCGAAATGACCACCCGGTGGCAGGCTAAAGGATGTTCGGTCATAACATCTGACGAAGCGAAACATTAGCGGGAGGATATATCAGCCGGCTCTCTTATAGACGGAGCGTGGGCAGTATCTTGGATATCACCCAGAAGAACGAGCACGAAATGATATGTGAAAGAAGTCGTTCCTCCGCTTCGTCACTTCCATTCTCCGCTTTGAACGCCCAAGGAGATCTTTTCGAGACGTTTTATCGGTATGTATGAAAAGTTCTTAGCATTGTAATTTAGTGAGAATAAAATAACAAAAAAAAAAAAAAAAAAAAAAAAAAAGAAAGAAAAACATTTTTCTATATATTTTTAAATTATGTTACTTTAATCATCACATGTCTTATTAAAAAAAAAAAAGTGCTTCTTTTTTTATCCCTGCCAAGTACATAAAGATGTTATCGCGTTGAAAACAAATCTTAAATCTTAAATCTTAGACTTTCTGAATTTTATTCTGTTTTTCTAAGAGCAATATTTGGTTCGACAACAAATTCTCTCAACGGTGTATGGAATATTATGCTAAGGCGAACAAACACACGCATGTTTATTTGCTTTACCAAGGGATAGATGTGTACGAGCGTAAACAAATTACGATGATTCACTGTCAGAAAGTCGAGATTAATAACTCATGTAATCGAAATTTATGCATTAATATTTATATATTGATAATATTCGAAAAATTGAACTGAATGTTATATAGGATGGGATACTTAAAATAGACAACCTGAATAATTCCGGTTATTTTTGGTTTTTTGAAAAAGAATACGATCGTAAATGTATAGTCCATCTTAAACCATTCATCTTTTCTCGCTAACATTTTCTTTTCTAACCAACCAAAAAAAAGACTTATGGCTTATTACAGTTGCGTGAATCATTAGACATTTTTCTCAAAGTATCTTGCGAACCTATTATTTTTCGACATTGTATCCTAATACTCCTTTCTTCAGAATAGCACGAGAAATCAATGTAAAAAAAAGTGTTACGTTTAAAAAAAAAAAAAAAAAAAAAAAACTGATCGCCTTTAAAATTTTTTAAAGAAATGATCTTAAGAAAAAATTTCGTCTATCATAAAATGTATCTCTTGAAATAATGTAACTTTGTCTTATAAATCAAAAATAAAGGAATTATTCAGGTAATCTTTTAAATAGTCCATCCTTTTGTGATAGAGAAACGAATTAATTATAAATAATAATAATAGTTAGAATATTACAAAAAAAAAGAGATTGGACAATCACAGAATCCTTCCGATTCTTAGGTAATACGTAAATCCATTCGATCTGTATGCATCTAATGAAAATCACGAGATATGTAAGTTTATCTTAGTCACGCGCATGCTCGACAAGCGAACAAATAAATGCATAAGCACGAAAGAAGCGATCCCCGCGATCCCTCTTTTTCGATCTTCACGATCTCTAAAATAACGGCTGTTGCTTCGGATATATCGTATTGAAAGTACCGATTCGTGAGCAGTAACCCGTTTTAAGGGTTCGCGGGAGGAGAATGATCCCGCGTTCGCATAAGCTATCTTCCTTCTCGTTCAATTTCCTGACTATTCTCTACAGCTGACAGTCAATCTACGTATTACGAAGGGTCCTTCTCGTCGTAGTCATCGTATTCGAGGGTGAACGTCTTTCCATTCCGTAAACCAACCATCCAATACACATCCGAAGAACGTATGTGCGAGTTCGCACAAATACACGTACATTTTTCTCCGCTTGTCCAAACGTACACATAGGTAAGAGTATATATGTACACACGATCAAGGAATAGCGTGGGATACGATCTCCGTAAAGGCGTCGCCGTTTAGATAATAACGCGCATTTTATCTCCCTCATAAAACCTAATTTATAACCGCATCCAAGTCTACAGGCGTGTACATATGTATGTCTGTCGGGAATAGAAAGGACTCCGACGGAGGTAGTGACGTAATCACGATTCGAGGAACCCTTTGGCTTTTTCGATTTACGCGCGAGTCCTCGCAATAAGTTTTTCGGAAAATTTCAAACTTATCATTACGCTTCTCAACGATATGGGAAATGTTCGATATTCGAGGAATGGTTTTTCGTAATGGTATCAGGATATTCATAAGTTCACGTAATTATAAAAATCTTCAAGAATATTTATGTTGTCTTTTTCATTAAATAAACACGTTAGAAAAATCAACTCGAATAAATTATTTGATTGAAACTTTTAAATAAATTCAATGTTTTAACGATATCTGTGTAGCTCAATTTATTTCACCGTCTTCCATTCATCAAACGTATTTTCTTGCCAAAGAAAATCCGTTTATCGTCGGAATTTATATCTGGATTATAGATTGTGGATATATATTTGGATAAAAGAGGGTAAAATCAAAGCGTAAAGAGAAGAGAAATTCGTGTTACCGTTAGATATGTGTTGCAATCTTGGCATCAACGTTTAGCCGATACGAAATATGTGCGATGTTACTCGCGTATACGCGCTTCAGCTCAGGATAGTTATCGACGATAAACCGAATACCTGTCTGTAACGTATAATCGTAGACGTGTGGCGATAAGTAGACGATTTATTCTTATTACCGAGCCTTTAAGCGAACGTTTGCAACGTATAGATGTAATATATATGTACGTAGATACGCCACATTGGAAAGCTTGATATAATTTAATTCCTTCATATTGGGATAACGTTTCTTTAATCGAACGCGTCCCACTTTGCCGTAACTGCATTCTAAATTATTGCGATTCATGTAAACGATGATGGCAATGAGCCGTATCGCCTTGAAACGTTCAAAATAAAATAAAGTCGAGTAATCATTTCCGGAATAAAGAGGAAGAGAAGGAGCCTATTTCAATAAAGAATCACGGATGCAAAATTGGCATTTATTAAGATATAAAATGATTTCACTAACGAATCCGATACATTTTAACGAGATAATTAATAACAAGCTTACAACTAGAAAAGAAAAAACAATTCGTAGCTTAATTTATTCAATGATCCTTCATAGCGTTTGAATTTGTAATAAAATTTATTTAAACTGGTTGGTTCATATGATTTTTTTTCAAAATAGCAAGGGCAACGATGATGAATTCAATAATGAAGGTACATTAAATATAAGGAAAGAAACATCAGGATGCAAGTTTATGATTCGATATCCAGACAAGAATCAATACTCGAGTATGCCGCGAAACGCGAGGAACGCATAAATGGTGCCTCAGTAAAAAAGTGGTAGTCGTAATGGTGGTAGTAGTAATAGAAGAAGTAAGAGGGAAAAGGATGGTTAGGAGGTAAAGGAGATACGAGGCATTATGGCTCTTCCTGGCTCGTAACCTTTGGTCATAAAGCTACTGCACACTGAAATATTGTCCGCCGCAACGTCTCCACGCCTACGCTTGGCCTATCCGTCGATCTATCTCAATGCTATTACGCGTAATTTATTAGCGGCTTCGCGAACGATAAATCGATCTGAGCGACGTCCGACTGAAAACGGTGGTACCGCCGTGGCGTAAAGTTCTCTCCTAATGGAATCGAGTGGCGTAAATAATAATACCGAAGAGCCTTACCAAGCCAGTAGGATTGCCTCTCGCACGAGACGCGACGAATTTATCGTCGTCGTGCGAGAAGAAAGAGAAGGAAAAGTGCGGAGGAGTCATCGAAGGCACTCGCATTGGAATTATCGAGAAACCTTTCTTGCTTTCCTCTTTGATGATTCTTGGGTATCTATGGACGTTATTTTCATGTCCAAGTTAAAAGAAAGTTATTTGATTTCGCTGTTAAAGTATGATCATTATAAGAACCCTTACGTTGAATATTAATATAGATTGGTTAATTATTGTTATTGCCTTATTAGCACATTGAAAAGATCAAGAATATCCTATATATAACGGTGTCTCGAGTAGAGAATTCTCAGGTATTAAATGCGGTAACATTGGTGTTGCTTCCCAATGGTGGTTGTGGCCACGTTTAAGCGCGAGCCTGAGCGCGCGAGCGCACGCACGATATTATTATCTCGTGATTCATAGCGCGCATTCATAAATGTTCTCGGGGCCGTATAACGGCGCGGTGCACGGCGGCGTGTATCGATTAACGTCGCTTCCCCGACGGGATTTACAACCGGCGACTAAATTATTTAAAGTCTTCATTTGTAGGGAGACGGATGGACGGACACGACCACGGAGCCGCGACCACGTAGTCGACGAAGCTCTCCGCGTTTCTCTCAAGCTTGTACATTCGCTACAACAAGTTCCGTCGATTTTGTGATTAGTTGGAAGCCACGATTAAATTCTACTTCCTTCGAAAATGGACGATCTCAATTCTTTCCTTTTCTTCTTCTTGACAAACTCGTTCGTCTTCACCACAGATATATATATATATATAGAGCGAATGTGCGAGATCGAAGCTATCGTAAAAGAGAAAGAAGAAGATCTTGTCTCGAAAGAACATACGCGGTTAGCCACCTTACTGAAACAAGATCATCCGGTTGAGGAATTTTACAAGAGAAAGAGAAAGAGATATAGAAAGCGACAGACGAAGAAAAGGATTCTTCATAAAGAAGAAGAAGAAGAAGAAGAAGAAGAAGATGAAGAAGAGGAGGAAGTACTTTCCAGACGAACGAAAACTACGACTGTTCGCTCTGATGCTTGTATTTATTAAGAGTGGCAGAAGCACGATTCAGAGGCTACCGTAAATATTTTTGAACGCGAGTGTGCGCTACAAAGATCCAGGGATTGTGTTGGCGTGCCGGAGCTGCCGCCGTCCGCGACACGAATGTCCGAACTCTCTTTTGTCGACAAAGAAAGAGAGAGCAATAGTTAGAGAGAAAGAGAAAAAGAAAGAGAAAGAGAGAGAGAGAGAGGAAAAAGGATAGGGAGAGAGAGAGAGAGAGAGAGAGAGAGAGAACAACGGGAAGAGAAAAAGAGAGAGGTTAGAAAGACAAGAACAAGGATGGAGATGAATAGATAAATGGATAGAGATAGAGACGAGTGAGGGAGGTTAAAAAAGGGAGAGAAAGAGAGAAAGAGAAAGAGAGAGAAAGAGAGAGAAAGAGAGAGAAAGATAGAGAAGGCGAACGTGTTCCAAGCATCCATGGAAGGCACGTCGTGCACAACGCTGGCGAACTCGTGTGTGTTCCGTGTTTCGAATGCACGAAACAAGCGCTGCTTGTCCGCGGCCACCTGAGTTATGATCGCTTTCTGCCCACCCTGCGTGCTCGCTCGGTTGCCCACCTCCACGTTCGCTCGACTGCTCTCTTCTTCTTCTTCTTCTTCTTCTTCTTCTTCTTCTTCTTCTTCTTCTTCTTTCTCTTCTTCTTCCTCTTCTCTTTCTCCTCCTTCTCCTTCATCTTTTCTTCTTCCTCCGGCAGTCTTCTCCCTCCACACGATCATCGGCCATCTTGATTCGAGAAAACCGGTTGGTTCTTTCACCAGAGTCGGTATATTCACTACCCGGTGGATACCGCCGCCGTTTCGAGTTGACTTCTTCGATAGCCGGCACGCACTACTCTTCTGTGAGCTCTTCTCGTGTCCGACCTTGTATTTCCCAATCTACTTGCTTCGATTAATAATCTTTCTTATCGTTACGCCGAATTAAATATCGAATCGATCGTTGTCGTGAGATCGTGAAAGAACTAATACCGATTTCATATAAATTTGTTAAATTATTATATATATACAGAAGACAAATTTTTATGTGGGAGTTTCTACCTTCCGTTATTTTCAAGTTATACAATGGAGGATAATATTTCGGTATGTTTAGAAAAATATCGCGTTACGTCTTTTTACATTTATCGAACGTTCCTGCTACTGTATCGCATGACTGATTCAAAAAAACTCATGTTTGTCTGATTCTGTTGCATGTATGTAATGTACCTTAGTGTTTATCAGTGTTCGGTGTAATACAAAGCAGAAGTAGCGAAGCGTTTCGAGCTCTCTGAGTTTATTTTTCAAGAATATATGTCAAACTTCGCATTCGCATCAATTTTATTTCGTTCGAATATCGAAAAGACGACACCCTTTGTTTTTCTCTCTCTCTCTCTCTCTCTCTCTCTTTTTGTAGAGAACGTTACGTGGTATAGGTTTTTTTGCACACAAATATTGAAATAATGCTTAAAGCTTTAACAAATTACAACCTATTAATATCGTAATTATGAATATTCATAAAATATAATATTTTGAAAATATTCGTTTATGACAAAAGAGATTTTTCTTTTTTTATTTATCTCTATTGTCAATATTTATTGACTTTTCATTATACACGACAATTCCTTATTTCATTCCCATCATCGAAATCTGAATACTTTCGAATTTCTTTTCAATCCAAATTTTTAGATCAACATCTATTGTAAATTCATTAAATATTAATGAATCAATTATTTAGAAATTAAATGAATTAGAATTGTTTTACTAGAGATATGCAAAATAAGAATAGTATCTACTGTTGTTTTCTTACTAAAAATATAGATTTTTCATGTTACCTAATATAAAACATTTTATTATTTGATTTCTTCTGTATCGAAAAACTTCTCTTATTATGTATTCTTATTCGAAGAACTGAGATAAATGGAGCGTGCGAAAAGTATCTGCAAGAAGAATTTTGATGGTAATCTTGATCTATTTCGAAGAAACTGTGATGTATTTTCAAACTCGTAAAAACGGCACTTGGCACGACTTGGTGAAAAGATGATAGCTTAGGCGCACATGCACGAAATTACGTTGCTCCAGTGCTTTATAGAACCCAAATAAACTATTCTTTGGAAAAGCACTCAGGCGTTACGAATTATAACATCTGAATTATGGATAATACATTTTAATTAATCCCGTGAAAATGTTAATAAATGATTACTACATAAGACTGAACCTGAAAAAGATAAGAAAATATAGAGATAATTATTATAATTAACTTAAAGGTATTTGTACTCTGTTTAAATGGTTGCTTCCTCAAAAACGAGAAAAGAAATACTCTTAGATAATTATATCGTAATTGATGATATAAAAAAATATTCAATATTAGAAGGAAGAAGATCTTTCGGTGAAAATGATGCGATATGTAGAATAGAATATACGAACTCACAAAATAAACTGGTACGAGTCTATAAATATTGCAAACATAATTTTTACTCACTTTTATAAGATTATAATAAAATACATCGACCAGTAGAGTTCTTTCCCGTGAAGATACACGACTAAATTTACATACCTTGCTCCATAAAGCGGGTGAAAAACGCACGTCGTAAAAATACAGCGAACTTTAAGCACATATTTCGAAACTATGAAAAAAACATGCGAGTTATACGAGCGATGAAACGTGATCGCGACAAGTTTATTGAGACGCACGCGTAAGCTCCACACGATACCTGTACTATTTTATAGGCTTCACGCCAACGTGAAAATTCGCAAATCACTGCCAGTAAAAACGAAGAAACGATAGTTCATCATTTACATTTACATTATGATACTCGTTAACGATGAGCTAGCTACCTTTCGTAATGACTAAATATTTTTATTTTTAAGTGCCGTTCTATAAAATTCTTATCTCACTTTCAAATATCATTTTAAGAAACGAATAATGAACTTCCAATAGTTTGGACAGTACATTACGTGGTTAGATTGCCCGTAATAAAAATATTTTATTCCTTTGAATTCCTTTAAAGTAAATAAGTGCAATAAAAATTCAAAATCTAACGAATAAATATAATTTATTGAATTATTACCATGAACAATATACGTCTTCTTATCATTAATAAGAGTTACATTCAAAACCAATTGATACTAACGATTTCATTTGTCTAATATTTAATAAAAAAATAATCACGTCTTACATTAAATCGAAACGAAAAGGCCGTTGTTCGTTCTAACTAATGTCAGAAAATTTATAAAATTATTTTACTTTGATACGTTTAAAGGTTATTTCGAATTGATGAAAATGTATTTATCGATGATGAGAATCATTGAAACGATAGCTGATAATAAAAGAAAAGGGAGCAATTCTAAGGGAGCATTGTCTTATTGTTGTTTCATCGAAGGTTCATATGCGATTGCTCTTTCGCCTTAATATACGCCTCCGTGCTGCGGGTTCTCGATGCCGCGTAAGATTTATCTTTCATTAGTGCATCGTTTGCATTGAATAGACGCGTTATGGGATAACGGGACGCTCGTTAATTGTTTGTTCCCGTTCGTTGGCCGGTTTGCGAACGTCGGCAGCGTCATCATCGGCACTGCTGCCAGCGCCACTGCCATTGCCTCTACGTGACGCTTTGACAAGGTACAACGCAACGAACGTGCTAGGAGATATTAGCAGGCGGTTCGTACTATACTATGGTTACATCGTTCTTTCTCTATCTCTCTTTCTCTCTTTTTCTCTCTCTCTCTTTATCTCTTTTTTTTTTCTCTCTCTCTCTCTTTCTCTCTTACTGCGGTATGTGAAAAGGTGTAAGAGAACTAACCGCGGCCCACAGTAACCAGGCGTGGTCGCCGCAATTACCTCGATAGAGTTACAAGACTCGTTTTATGCTCTCGCACAAATTTATTAGCCCCATTCGCGTCAGTTTAATTACCAACACGGTCCACCGTGACTTCTTTCTCTTCTTTTACCCCACTACTACTCATTCCACCTTCATACGGAATCACCGATTCTCTTCTTTTCTTTCTTCTTTTCTTTTATATTTTAATATAAAGAAAGCTTCATAGTAATAATGTTATAAGGAAAATGAGAACATATGATAAGGTAAAAAATTTTAATATAGAAATACGATACATATTGTTTTAATATTTGAATGTTATTTTGTATTCTTTGTTAAATATTTTTTTAAAGTTTTAATGAAATTTATAAGTCTTCGATGGTTTCAATTAGATTTAAAAATAATGTTCAAATATTCAATCGTTTATTTACTTTCTATTGGGATTTTAACAATGTTTTAATATCAATCGAACAAGATTTTGTTGAACGAAAGTCGATAGAGAGAGATTACGCTTTCCTCCGAATCGAGTCGGCAATTACGTCGAACGTTTTAATGAACCCGAAGAAACTCGCGGCAGCATGCTTTCGCCATCCCCTCTAGCCCCTTTCGCCACCCTCCTCTCCGAGCTAATTGCTCGCAATTAAGCGTGCCAACCAGATATCGTGAAATTAATTACGACCGTGAGAGATCAGTGAAGAAAGCGGTACGTCGAGCGTAAATAAGTCATTGAATGATTACGTCATGAAGTTGAATTACGCGAATTGAGATTGCTACACCTTCTTTGAGACGAACATCTCGAGAAACGATTACATTTTTTCCACTAAATGTCCTCTATCTATAATAATTTTGTAGTTTTATGACATAAGTAGGTAGATGATATCTAGGTCTTTATCTACTACCCGCTATTATAGTGGTTTCCTGCTGTCATATTTTTGGACAAAGTTGTACTACAGTGGCTATCCCTCTGAGTGACGTTTTTTAACGAGAAGCTACTTGTTCCCTTGCTTACTTTATAATAACATAAACTGCTAAATGCATAGTTGAAGGCACCGAAACACCGATCGTGGCATTAATTTCATTTACGTACACTTTACGGCAAAGTAGTTTGTATAGGCGATACAGGTCCACGTAACTAAAAGGCTAGTAACTACTTTATATTGAAGTTAGTATAAATCTATTATAAATGTATTATAAATCAATAATTAAATAATCTATAAAGAAATTAAAATTGATTGATGACACAATTTTTAATTAGTAGGTACAATTAATCCTGAAGTAGAACCTATTTAAAAAGCTTTAATGAGCCCTAATTAAACATCTCTGAGTAAATTATTAGTACTATTCTGAGTAGAGTATATAGTGAAAATAAATTGCTTTTATCCATGGAAAATCCTTTATTTACACTTGACACGCGATTATATAAACTAAGAGGCTCTATGGATCGTTCATGTTGAAATAATCGACAAAACAACAGCGTTAAATAAAAAGTGAACAGTGTTAAAGTTTGGAAGCATTCAAGTTGAAGAAGAATCTCATCACAAAGAAGACGAGAACAAGTATTTTAGACCTTTGACCCTGGAAACATCGAAAAGTCAAATGTTATCGATCGTAACTTTCACTGAGGCTGCTGAGAGATTCGTAAGGCGAGCTCCATCCCGATCGTAATCGAATGATCAGAAGAAAGAGAGAGAGAGAGAGAGAGGGAAAGAGAGAGACAGAGAAACAGAAAGAAGAAGAAGCTTCTTCTGTGCGCGATCATCGCGATCTCTTCTTACAAGCGTGTCGCCATCGGACACGCCGTCGGACAGCCGGCGGACGAAGCAACAAAAAGAAATAGAAGAAGAAGAAGAAGAAGCAGAGGCCAGAGAGAAGGTCGACGGCTAACACGGCGCTCGACGTCGAAACGCGCAGGGCCCCTCCGCGAACCTGGAAGACAAATCGGCCCCGGTGGGTGCAAACGTCGTAATTATCGGAGGCAGTAATCTCACGGCGTGGAAGCGCACTGCAAGGAGGAGCAGGAGGAGGAGAAAGAGGAAGAGAAAGAGGAAAAGGAGAAGAAGGAGCAGGATGAGGAGGATGAGAAAGAGGAGGAAGAGGAGGAGGAAGAGGAGGAGGAGGAGGAGGAAGAGAAGGATGAGAATGAGAATGGGAAGAAGTAGGAGAAGGAGAAGAAGAGGCGCTCAGTGAAAAGCGCGTGACAGAGTGGCTCGACTCGTTCGGGCTCGGCGCCCTACGGGCTGGTACCCCTTTTGCCCGGAGTGTCGGCCATACATTACCGCTGTTAGAGCCCGCCGGCACTATATTATTCTCCGGCGCGGTGCTGCGTGCCGTGGCAGCCGGTGGAACGAGCGAGAGAGAGATAGAGAGAGAGAGAGAGAGAGAGAAAGAGAGAGTAGATGCGTTGGTTCGCTCGGCCGCTGATAAACTACCCTCCGCGCTCAGTCCGCAGGTATAATAAAATGATATCTGGCCGGGCGTATCGCGATTCTAGCTGCGAGTGGCCACGCCAGCACAAAGTCGCCGCCTGCGCGCCTACGGCGGCTGCGATAAATAATGCCGGCTTGGCGTGCTTGCTAGGGCTCAAGCGAAGAGCGAGAGGGTGAGAGAGAGAGAGAGAGAGTGAGAGAGAGAGAGAGAGAGAGTGAGAGAGAGAGAAAGAGAGAGGAAGGGAGAGAGAGAGAGACAGAAACAGAGAGGAGAGAGAATAGGAAGAGAAAGAGAAATAGTGGTAACTTGCACAGTGTACACTCTTACAACACCGCGACACCTTTTGTATCCGTAGATAGGTACTCTATACGCTCGTGCACAGCCCTCTGTCAACACCAGCAAGTAACAGTGATCGTAAGCTCACTCGGAGTGACTAATTCCAAGCTATCATTTTCTTCATCATAAGTCACAAGTCTTATTTGAGTTAAATCAAAATTTAATTGATTTATTCCCAATACATTGATTATTACCAATTGATTCCGAGTTGAAGTATGGTTCTTAGAAAATTTTCAATGGCAACTATCATGACACTTTGAACACAAAGAATTATTCCGCTGTGCTATTCAAGGACCTGAGAATTCTATTCTATTCTAAGTACTTATTTCCGGATATGGCGAGCCTATGGTCCTATACAATTAGTCTTCTATTCGACCATTCTATTTCTCTTAGAATTGAAGAATCTTGTAGCAGGAAAGTGAACAATATCTCCCAAATAACAAACGCTGATCATAGGGACTCGATGTATTTGAAAAATGCTCATTAAAAAATCTTCGTAGACAAGCCCGTAGGAAGGACTTCGTTGAAAATCCATTAACGAACAAAGTCCAGTTGTTAGCGAATGCCTGTTCGTCTATGGTACACATCGAGTAAACAAATCACGGCTTATCCCGGATTACAAGTCCCCACGGGCTACTTACTTTGCTACGAGCGTAGGGCATCTATATCTCAGTGAGCCTTGTGCTTTCGAATATTATACATTGCCTGTCACTTCCCGCTGTTGTGGCTTACGCCACTCCCTTCTTCCTGACATTCTCCTTCCATTTCGGCTCTTTTAACCTGTCAGGTGAGAAACATCGGTGCACCCTTGATCCCGCAAAAGGGAAAGCCCTGACGAGCGCCACCCGCAAGGAACACCACAAAGGTTTGGAGAAAGAAGAAAGAGAGAAAAAAGAGGAGCTCATTTTCGCGTCGTCGTTCCATCGTCAATCCGTAAACGTTGTTGTCGAAATGATCTAGGTTGGACAAGATGATCACAGTTGGTTTATTTTATAAAGTACTTTAGCTATACTTCGAAACAGATTTTTAAAATGATTTCCTGTCTTAAAGAAAAGAACGCCACGAAATTTTTGTATCTACACATTCAAAGACAAGATGATATACAATAAATTGTAGATCATTATAACTAGCTTTTTCTCTCTCTCTCTCTACGACCGTTAAAATTATATGTATTCAGTTACTCGCAAGCAAACGAATGTTCATAATATACTTCTTCATATAATCAGTATACACGACATTAAATAGATCCTATCGAAGATTTATGCTTCCTAAATACCGTAATGTGTCATCGAAATGACGTCACGACGAAAATCGAATATGCTAGTGGGTTTAATACGTTCGTCCGTTTTGGATGATGGCCGAACGATTCGGAGTAAAGTGGCATTGCTAAACGAGGCTCGGCGATGCAATATGTATTATCTGTAAGAAGGTAATGTGGAGCCCCAGGGAAGTTGTGGCCGACTGAGTTTATTTCGAAAGACAACAATAGAATGCATCGGTAGGGCGTATTGTATGCAGGAAGGCGCGGTATGGCTCACAATACCTTCTGCATTATGTATCTCGTGCCGGTGGTTATCTCCGTGTGTTGTAATCCTAAACAAGCATCTATACACGCACCTCGTGCGGTGGCTATTGCCTCGCTCGAACGGCGTTGCTCCCCCGGCGAGCACAGGGTGCTGCCACTGCCACCATCGACCGATATCTACCTACGTAATTTTTCTTACGAGTATCGTTACTTCCTACGACTTCTAAGAAGCTATCGGTAGTCTACAGAAGGATTCCCCGATCGCGAATTTCGAATGTTCGTCTTCGAAAAACGAGCATCCTCTTTGTCTAACCGGCTTTGTTATCGTATTATCTCTTCTATAACAATGCATAGATATTTGTTGGACATACCACCATTTATTCTTATGTTCTATAAATTACGATAAATCTTTATTTATCACTATTATTTAAAGCTAGCTATGATAAAAATAAACCAGTTAAAATTTTCTATAACAGTGTAAAATAACTTCGTAATGTAAGACTCGAGGAAACGACTTGGTATAGAAACGAGCTCGATGGATTTTTATCGTAAACTAAGGTGCTATTTTGTACTTGGTATGATGGTTTCTTTGCTCTGAAATGGTCTCGCGGACGTTGCTTTTCATCGCCAAGACATCCTTTCGTAAAGATACCAGCTGTTTTCATGACACGGTTCTTCGTCGTTGGTAAATCTCACTTTGTACCGTGAAGAGACACTTATCGTCGATTAAACGCAAGGACTCTATGGTCTCGACGGGAGGGAAAACGCTTTTAGGAGTGTCTCGGAGGAACGGAGACGGATAAATAAATTTGGATTCCAAAGAACGTCGTCCGCCAGTTGGTTTTCGTCGTTCGCGCGGTGCTTTTGATCTCTCGGCCGTCTAACGCACACTTAAGCTCGTTTGCTCAACTTAATTTCGACCGGTTGGCAACGTGCAGGTTCTCTCTCTCTCTCTCTCTCTCTCTCTCTTTCTTTCTTTTTCACTATGTCACGACAAACGGCACTGCCGAGACTGCAGTTTTTCCTTGCTTTGAAAGATATCTCTCCCATTATGAAAACGTCAGGACAACGCTTTCTTTTTTGATTGTTTGTTCCTGCAAACGATTAGGCTTCGAGCCCCAAGGGATAAAGACTCGAACATTTCAAAGGATCAATAATCTTCTTGGTGTCAAATGTTCATAAACTTCATCAATATTATCTATCTTCGAAGAATTTTAATACACTTAATAAATATATATATATTTTCTTTTTTTTTAACTTATCGTTATACATGAAACATTTATTATATTTTAATTGATAATCGTCAACGAAATCGATTTAAAATATCGCATTTTAAATACAATCCTCGTAGTAGATTTGGTCTCCCGTGCGAATAGAACCGTGTATCGACATTAATTCATGATTTCGAATTCACATTAATCATCGTATCGATATTCATGCACGTATAGGGAATGAAGTTCAGGATTATAAACGTACACACGTATTCGAACATGCGTACTACGAGATTTGAACTTCATCGAGCGAAGCAGTAACGCACGTTAACTTCACAATGGCTCATAAATAAGTAGAGTTCTGTCAAAACCCATATAATTCATCCAGAAAACATAGCGCAGTCGTATCACGCGCCTGCGTTGTCCAACGTATGGACGAACCGTCGGGTTTAACGATGAGATGTACGAACGAGAGAGAACTCGTGGAACCGGGAAATTGAGGAAAATTCATAGCCGGAGGTCGAAGCACGTCTCTTCTCTAGGAACCTTATGTATCGTCCGTACCGATACTCGTTCTACCAAAGAAAGACGTGACGAAGACGTTCGGCTATGGATAGAACCGGATAGTTTGTCTAACCCGCTCTCGTTCCCTCGTGAAATTGAATCAGAGCTTGGCCGAAATTCCATCTTCCTTTCATCGACAATAGATTGAGATTCAATTCGAATATTTATTTTATCTTTACTCGTATTCTTTTAATATTTATAGATTTAATTTTAAGGAGAAAAAAAAATTGTCGATAGTCGTATAAAAAATAATTAGTATAGATTAACAAAGCGAATTCAAATTTACGAAAATTCGAGTATTCAATTTTCGACTTTTTCTTTTTTTTATAATAAAAAAAGAAAAACTTTTCTGTTTTTTTGCAGAATTCGAAGATAAAAAGAGAGAGAGGAAAAAAAAGGAGAGATTTTTTACAAGTATCTAAGAAAGAAAGAAAGAAAGAAAGAAAGAAAGAAAGAAAAAGAAAAACTACAAGATAACATAGAAAAACCGTTTCATAGCAATCTGCTTTTCGTCTGTACGAAAGAAACAGCTCGAGGGACGAGGAGGGGAAGGCGATACACTCGAGATTAAACGAAGAACGCCTCGAGTGCCTTCGCCGAGACTTCCATTGAGAATCTAAGGAACGCGCGCATCCTTTTGTCGGAATGACGAGGACGAAGGATTCGGGCCGATCGACTTCCGTGTGTTGCAAAACGAGCGAGCAAGTAAACGAGAGAGAAAGAGAGAGAGAGAGAGAGAGAGAGGAAGAGGAAGAGAGAAGGAGAAACTGAGAAAGAGGTATAGAAGGGACTCAAGAGAATCTCGAACGGAAAGGACGATGAAAACCGAGGGAAATTCATGAGCAGCGGATCGAAGAAGAGGAGCCGTCGTCTCGTGCGAGATATCCCAGGCATCGTAACTCGCATTTCTCCTCTCGGGCCTTCACTCTCTTTCTCTCTCTTTCTCCGTATCTCTCTCTAACTCTCATGGCTGTGCACGAGAGAGTTCGTAACGAGGTACGAAGGAAGGCATTCAGGCGGACTTGCCTCGGCAGGCAAGCAAGCAAGCAAGCAAGCAAGCAAGCAAGCAAGCAAGCAGGCAGGCAGGCAGGCAGGCAGGCAGGCAAGCAGGCAGGCAGGCAGGCAGCCAAGCAAGCAAGCAGGCAGGCCGCGGGCCTCACGGCTGCCAGTCATCGAGCTCGTCGGTCACCCACCAACGCTTATAAAGATTCTCGCGGGCAGAATGTAGATACGAGATGTCAGCTCGACATGAAGCATGCCGCCGACAGCGCACGGATGGACGGGGGACGAACCTTCTCTTTCCCTCTCTCTTCTCTTCTCTTCTCTTCTCTTTTCTTCTCTTCTCTTCTCTTCTCTTTCTTCCTCTTTCTTTCTTTCACGCATGTGCTTCCTTTCACCCTACTTTGCTCTTTCTTCCTTCCATCCTCTTTCGTCTCCTTCTTTGAAACACACACTATCGAGAATTCTCTCGTTCTCTTTCTCTCTCCTTTCTCTCCCTATTTGTCTCTCTTTCTCCGTCTGTCTTTCCTATCCTTCTCTTTCTCTCTTTCTTTATGTTTTTCTCTGTCTATCCTTCCGTCGGTCTGTCTTTCTTTTTCTGCTCTCGAATCGTGTGTGCGTCGAGGCAAGAGTACGCGTGTACCCAAGTCGAGGCCCTGCTAATCATTATGCCAGGCAAAGCGGCACGACAAGGCATCGCGCGCGCCTTCTTAACTTTCCATTTGCCCGATGCGAAAGAACCCGTGAGAGATCAGTGGTTCTCAGTCCTTCCTTCCTTTCTTCTTTTCTTCCTCGTATTTCTTCTTCCTTTTCTTTTCCTTCTTCTTTTCTTCCCTATTATCTCGTTTCCATTGGCGCACGCTGTACTCCGATTCACTGACCTTTACTGACTGTTCGTTCCACTTCGACCTTTCCTTATTCTCTCGGTCGAGACAAGAAATTTCTCGTGGAATCACACATTTCCTTCTTTGTCTCGTTAAAAAGAACGTCTCGTTTCTTATGTGATAAAAGGTTACGATGAAAATCTAAAGATCGAAATAACAATCAAGAAATTAAATATCCATGAGTGTGAATTATTCAAAAAATATCGTATGATAAAGCAATCTGATTCACAATTAAATCTTTCAAAGTTGCAGTGAATTTATTTATAACGGAAGAAAGAGAAATAAAACTTGGAAAAAGGAAAAAAGAAACGACGATGAAACAATTTTGTAAAAGAAACTGATCGATATCGCGTATGTTATAGGTACGTGTATCAAAATTTACATTCTCTCTGTAGAAAACGGACGAGCCGTTTATTGGTTTTCCCGTGAACGTAGATTTACATCTTGCAATCTTGTCGCGAATCTAACATAAGTCACTAAATCGGTTGGATCTTGTAGACAGTGTTGTACGAAATGGCACACCGGACTGACCAGAACGGGCAATTTGCTTTTACTTTACGACCGCCGTTTCGACTTTATTTCAACGTCATCCCGTTCTCTTTTTCTCTTCTCTTTCTTTTTCTCTCTCTCTCTCTCTCTCTCTCTCTCTCTCTTTCTTTGCTCTAAAGTTTAGGGATAAAGGAAAACATCGAAGTAACCGTTTTTACGGCACGTAGGAGATAAGCCAAACGCGTTTCCATGAAGCTCAGGGAGTGCGAACGTGCTATCTTTCCGGCGTTCGTGATGTCGATGGCGAGCTTACTGTGTCGTCGCTTCTACTTCGGCCCTTCTAAGCGATGCCACCGTGAAAATGGAGTTTATTTCATATCGACCTCTCGCGCGCGCTCGTTTGGAAGAAATTTTTCCGCAAAATGCTCCGTCTCCATAGAATTTCCTTTTTATGATACCAGTTTTTTCTCCACTTACCCCCAACGTGGACGAATTTACGAGCGTATCGATGCGACTACGAAATTTATTAATCCAATAACGTACCCAATTTTATAATCAGCAATATGCTTATCGCGCTATTATTATATACTTATCACATAATTTTCGTGAAAAAAAAATTTCTCGGAAATGTGCTCCACTTAGGTAAAAGTATGTAACGCTCATAAATATGTGCCTATATAATCGTATATTCACACGCGAAAGTCAAAGTACTAAAATTCATAAATTACGTGAATATTGAGCAAAAGAAAAAAATGGAGCGATTCAATGAGTGACATTCTGTCTTGATTTATCGATTATATATATATATATATATATATATATATATATGTATTTTAAAAAAAAAATATTTAACGACTTGCGGAAAGCCAAGAAAAGAATAATTATTCTCTTATATAATTTATCGATATTCTTTCGATATGTGCTTTCTCCTCAAATTGGACAAGAAGAACGTCGATATTTTTTTCCAGAGAAGCAGACGCGGAACATCGTATGCTCGCGTTGTGGTGGGCGTGAAAATCGAAAGTTTCGTAAAGAAGACGCGTGTGAAGCGTAATTGTTCGCAGCTAGCAATAATTAATGGACACCGAGTCGATTAGATAAAATTGAAACGAATATCATAAATATACCGTCGGCTATTTTCGTACTGGCACAGCACGATTTGCCTTATCGAGCTTTCTACTCGTAACTCAAACCGACAGGGCGAATAAATTTCTGTCGACGATTAACAATGTGCAGAGATCCAAGAGGCGAAAGTATAGCGGCGAGAGATAGCACGAGCGAGATAAGCGCTAACTTGTAATTAACTTGCAATTATTTTAAAGAGACATTTCTCCGTATTTTCTCCACGAGCCGGAAGAAAGATCGCGTACTGCGCTTCGGATACGCCCGAAGCGTTAAATGATAAAGAAACGAGCTTCGTAAAATTTAACGAGCACGAATGATTCGTTTCTCTTTTTCTTCTGTTTTTTTTTCTCTTTTCTAACTATTTTTTCCTATGATGAATAAACCCTGTCGTGTATTCAAAGCTTATAATTTAATTCTCACTAATTTATGAATGAACGAGACCATTTTGCAGCTCAATTGTAGGATAGTTTATTTAAAGAATTATGCCAAAATTATGAGCGATTATAATTATGAAAATATAAGAGAACGTGACCGACTCTTAATAAATCTAAAATACGATTGTTTGTAACTTTGACATCTCATTTCTCAATCGTCCGTCTTGTTAGCATATCCTTCGCTTAAGCTTTTATTACGTATTTTTCGTACAACTTCTAAATTATCGAATATATACGAGTTATTGTCGAAGATACAATATAACGATAATAGTCAGAGAAAAAGAATACATTTTTTCAATTTACTCTCGTACGTTTGCCTTTTTACATCGTCGAAGTATCGTTCTATTTAATTTATCTTACCGATGGAATGACGATAGAATATTTGTCCTACTCTTTCTACATCACATGCACGAGACAATGACGACGACAATGATGAGAAAACATTGTTGAGATCTATCGAATATAACGAGCCGAGTTATCTTGAAATTGCTTACCTACGGATCGTTCATTGTAGAAACATTTGCTTTATTATCATTATCGCTCTTCTATTACCATTTATAAACGATACCTATTTTGCTTGTTCTCATTAATTATCTTAATTTTTTTCCAACATCATTTCTAAGAATAATAATATCGTTTCATAATGATTTTATAAGCTTTTTCGTTGGACAGCAGAGTATACGTAAAGGAATAAGCCACGAATTTTTTGGTGAAGCACAAAACCCTTTAAAACAGGGACGTTAATGCTACGAGCAGGAAAACGAAAGGCGCAAAGCTCAGAGGTCAACTCGCGATACACACGAAGGCAAAGCCTCGGAGGGAGAGAGAGAGAGAGAGAGAGAGAGAGAGAGACAGAGAGAGAAAGGAAACACGCGAATGCACGAGATATAAATCCGGTAAAGCTGGAATGATCGTTGGTTAGAGGAACACCGAGAACACGTCCAGCTTCGAGTTTATGTAAAGCAAAGCCGTCCCGTCAAAAATCCGTGCTGACCTGGCGAAATCCCGACGCGTGGACACGCCACTGACAACCGTCATATAGAAAGAGTAAAGCAGGACGTATGCTTGAAAAAGAGACAGAGAGATAGATAGAAAAAGAGAAAGAGAGAGAGAGAGAGAGAGAGAAAGAGAGAGAGAGGGTAGGAGAAGCGAGGGGTAGGCACGGCGCGAATAAATAAAGCTATCTCGACTCGCGTTTATCATTCGCTATCCAAGCAGTCCTCGTAAATCTGCCCGGCATCCAACCAGCTAACCTTCCTACCAGCACGGCTGTCTGCCACCAGTCGATAAGAGTCGGCTGCGGAGCAATATGTTGCATCTCACCCTTCGAACTACGCCTCCTAGCCACGTTTCGAGCCGATTATGCCATGGCCGAGTCTTCCGACCTTCGTTTTGAGTACCTACACGTACGATACCACTCGCCACTTCATCCCTTCTGTTGTATTCGAGAATGGTCT